TTCGAAAGATTAAGTTTGTCTGTATGTCTGTACGACCGCTCACGTGCAAACCAGATGAGAAATAAGAAGTTGCAAAGTAACCATGGTAACGAGGATTGTCACACGTGCACGTGCAAAGATTTGCGAGCGCCATTTTGATCGATTTTGTAGTAATTACGCTGTGTTTAGAGTGTCGATTACATAAGGCTGTATCTTCGGATGTGCGACGGATATTTTTTTATACGATTACATTTTTCTTTTAAAGAATACTACTAGCTTCCTCCCTGTTACCACGGGCTTTCTAGCATAATTATAATCTTAAAATAAAAATACAGCAAGTTGTTAATTCAGATAGCATGTAATCATGTTAGATATAAGGTGTGGGTTTTAAAGACATGTAAGATAGAATATAACAATCTGTAGAATTCTTTTTAATTGTCATTATTATAATATTAATCTGAAATTTGTTTGCTACACTAGGCATAGCTGAGTCAAGACGTTTGATAGCAAACCTTAACACAAATCAAAGGCCTTTAGATAGTCCTATTTACTTTAGATAGTCCTGTTTACCAACAGATAAGATGAGAAATAAGTAATTCAAAAATATGTTAACGAAAAAAAAAACAACAAAAAGGTTTCAAGTTCTGTCAGTGCCTACTTAGATTTCCTTGCATAAATAGTAAGGTTACCCTAAAGTACCTAAAATATATCATCCTCACTGATTCATTCAATAATGACTTAACATTTTGTTGATGGAAAAACAGTCCTATTCAGAAAAACAGTCTTATTTAGAAAAACAGTCCTATTAAGAAAAACAGTCCTATTTAGAAAAACAGTCCTATTTAGAAAAACAGTCCTATTTAGGATCCATGCTCTTGAAAAAGCCGAGCGGATTCCCAAATTGATAATCTACATCCTCAGCAGGCCGTCCTGTTCTCAATAACAACACTTGGATGGTATGTATTTGTGGGGTCATCAGTCTGTCCGTCTGTATAATGTTTGTTTATTTGTTTGTCAGTTACTGTGTAATTATTGTCAATTAGCAACTTTGGCTGTTTGCCAGGTGGGGCTCGTCTGTTAGGTCGGGGTCGGTCCTTGCGTAGGTCGGTCATTGGAATGTGAACCAGCTCTATCACTGGCTCACTTATACCACTCTCACTGTAAACACATGTCTGTTAAATAATGTCAGTTAATTAATGTCAGTTAATTAGGTCAGTTAATTAATGTCAGTTAATTAGGTCAGTTAATTAATGTCAGTTAATTAATGTCAGTTAATTAATGTCAGTTAATTAATGTCAGTTAATTAATGTCAGTTAATTAATGTCAGTTAATTAATGTCAGTTAATTAATGTCAGTTAATTAATGTCAGTTAATTAATGTCAGTTAATTAATGTCAGTTAATTAATGTCAGTTAATTAGGTCTGTTAATTAATGTCAGTTAATTAATGTCAGTTAATTAATTTCAGTTAATTAATGTCAGTTAATTAATGTCAGTTAATTAATGTCAGTTAACTACAATAAAGTATTAACAATAACATAATCATTGCACGTGTCAGTCGAATATAATATTACAAATTTCATGTGAATCATGCGCATACAATATACATTAAAATATCATTCCGTCGCAAAGCACTACTTAAATAAAATGTCACTAATATTAAGAATTATTCAGGTAAGAGAACTGTGAATCAATGTTAATTTTTACTACCGTCTTTTTGCCGAAGGCACTTACGCAAAAGCTAAAAAGACAAGCAAGAACTTATAAATCGGGCCCCAATAAGATGCAAAATTGTCGTGTTTTAACGCACCATTCAAATATTTCAAGTAAAACTTTCATATTACAGGGTGTACCACAGTGTAGACCCTGTATATTACAGGATGTATCACAGTATACACCCTGTATATACTGAAAAAATCATAGATAAATTATTTTCAGAGCTAGAAAGACGGCATAAAACCTATTCTTTAACTAAACTGTGCGAAACGTTGACAAATAAAAAAGATCTTAGCAGCGAATCTCTCATTTACAAAACCATAGTTTGATTCCGTAATTTCACATAATTAAGAAGACGTAGCGCGCGGCCCAATAGGGAGGCAGAAGGAAACGTTACAAACATGTACACATGTAGAGCGCTACTTACACTCTGTTTCCAGACCCTAGTACCGGAGTCATGCTGTGCTCTTTTGTCCTGAATGGTTCCTTATGTAAAGGTAGTGACGTTACCTAGCAACCACGTGACGTTACCTAGCTGGTTCCTTATGTAAAGGTAGTTGCTGCTGGTTTTCTTTTGAATTCTTCAAATTCTCTTCCAGATGCTCCAAATTCCAATTGTTTGTTTTTTTTAAATCGGCATGATTTGCAAGATCGGTTAATAACAAGTGACCAAATATCCAAGAAGTTGAAAATTGATTGAAGTCATGTTTTCGTGCTATACAACTTTCCTCAAACGTCCAATAAAGCAATAAGATTATCATTCCTCATTTCAATGGTCATTCAATGCTACTTCATAATATAGTGAAAGCTGTTATCGTCAGTTCCGCATTTTCACACTTGTCCAATGTCAGTCATGAGTATCCGTTAAAGATAGCGGTGGTTAATGTTGTATAATGTACATAACACCAGATCAGAGTTAATATAACAGCACGCTCTTAAGTTGTAACCAAACGTAACTGGTAACCATGGTAACCATGGTCACCTGTTTAAAAAACTAATACCTAACAAATAGTCAGTGGAGATTAGGTGTTTAATGACTATTGTAGAACACACCCTAACTACTCTAGTAGCAGAGTGTAGTTAACACGTGCACTCCCTAACTACTCTAGTAGCAGAGTAGAGTTAACACGTGCACACCCTAACTACTCTAGTAGCAGAGTGTAGTTAACACGTGCACACCCTAACTACTCTAGTAGCAGAGTGTAGTTAACACGTGCACACCCTAACTACTCTAGTAGCAGAGTAGAGTTAACACGTGCACACCCTAACTACTCTAGTAGCAGAGTGGAGTTAACACGTGCACACCCTAACTACTCTAGTAGCAGAGTAGAGTTAACACGTGCACACCCTAACTACTCTAGTAGCAGAGTGTAGTTAACACGTGCACACCCTAACTACTCTAGTAGCAGAGTGGAGTTAACACGTGCACACCCTAACTACTCTAGTAGCAGAGTAGAGTTAACACGTGCACACCCTAACTACTCTAGTAGCAGAGTGTAGTTAACACGTGCACACCCTAACTACTCTAGTAGCAGAGTAGAGTTAACACGTGCACACCCTAACTACTCTAGTAGCAGAGTGTAGTTAACACGTGCACACCCTAACTACTCTAGTAGCAGAGTAGAGTTAACACGTGCACACCCTAACTACTCTAGTAGCAGAGTGTAGTTAACACGTGCACTCCCTAACTACTCTAGTAGCAGAGTAGAGTTAACACGTGCACACCCTAACTACTCTAGTAGCAGAGTGTAGTTAACACGTGCACACCCTAACTACTCTAGTAGCAGAGTGGAGTTAACACTTGCACACCCTAACTACTCTAGTAGCAGAGTGTAGTTAACACGTGCACACCCTAACTACTCTAGTAGCAGAGTGGAGTTAACACTTGCACACCCTAACTACTCTAGTAGCAGAGTGTAGTTAACACGTGCACACCCTAACTACTCTAGTAGCAGAGTAGAGTTAACACGTGCACACCCTAACTACTCTAGTAGCAGAGTGTAGTTAACACGTGCACACCCTAACTACTCTAGTAGCAGAGTAGAGTTAACACGTGCACACCCTAACTACTCTAGTAGCAGAGTGTAGTTAACACGTGCACACCCTAACTACTCTAGTAGCAGAGTGTAGTTAACACGTGCACACCCTAACTACTCTAGTAGCAGAGTGTAGTTAACACGTGCACACCCTAACTACTCTAGTAGCAGAGTGTAGTTAACACGTGCACACCCTAACTACTCTAGTAGCAGAGTGTAGTTAACACGTGCACACCCGAACTACTCTAGTAGCAGAGTAGAGTTAACACGTGCACACCCTAACTACTCTAGTAGCAGAGTGGAGTTAACACGTGCACACCCTAACTACTCTAGTAGCAGAGTGTAGTTAACACGTGCACACCCTAACTACTCTAGTAGCAGAGTGTAGTTAACACGTGCACACCCTAACTACTCTAGTAGCAGAGTGTAGTTAACACGTGCACACCCGAACTACTCTAGTAGCAGAGTAGAGTTAACACGTGCACACCCTAACTACTCTAGTAGCAGAGTGGAGTTAACACGTGCACACCCTAACTACTCTAGTAGCAGAGTGTAGTTAACACGTGCACACCCTAACTACTCTAGTAGCAGAGTGTAGTTAACACGTGCACACCCTAACTACTCTAGTAGCAGAGTGTAGTTAACACGTGCACACCCTAACTACTCTAGTAGCAGAGTAGAGTTAACACGTGCACACCCTAACTACTCTAGTAGCAGAGTGTAGTTAACACGTGCACACCCTAACTACTCTAGTAGCAGAGTGTAGTTAACACGTGCACACCCTAACTACTCTAGTAGCAGAGTGTAGTTAACACGTGCACACCCTAACTACTCTAGTAGCAGAGTGTAGTTAACACGTGCACACCCTAACTACTCTAGTAGCAGAGTGTAGTTAACACGTGCACACCCTAACTACTCTAGTAGCAGAGTGTAGTTAACACGTGCACACCCTAACTACTCTAGTAGCAGAGTGTAGTTAACACGTGCACACCCTAACTACTCTAGTAGCAGAGTGTAGTTAACACGTGCACACCCTAACTACTCTAGTAGCAGAGTGTAGTTAACACGTGCACACCCTAACTACTCTAGTAGCAGAGTAGAGTTAACACGTGCTGAATGGTTCAGAGCACACTAATCAGAGAGGTCAGTTAAACACACACGGGCTAGAATACAAGAGTACTTAACTCGTTCTAAACGCGCATAATATCCCGTGACGTCACTCGGAGTAAAACGTGACGTCACGTGATAGAATGAGAGGTCACGTGACTTACCATCCATTTCCTCCCTCGTCTTCAGGGTGGAGTTGACTAAACTTTATAAAGTAGCGGGCCAGACACCGTGATACACACATGTAGAACAGCAAGGAGATCCCAACTAGTGACAATCCACAGTACAGCAGGGTCTGAGAAGGGTCTGTTACAGCATCATATAGAGACATTATTAACACCATATAGAAACATTATTAACACCATATAGAGACATTATTAACACCATATAGAGACATTATTAACACCATATAGAGACATTATTAACACCATATAGAGACATTATTAACACCATATAGAGACATTATTAACACCATATAGAGACATTATTAACACCATATAGAAACATTATTAACACCATATAGAGACATTATTAACACCATATAGAGACATTATTAACACCATATAGAGACATTATTAACACCATATAGAGACATTATTAACACCATATAGAGACATTATTAACACCATATAGAAACATTATTAACACCATATAGAGACATTATTAACACCATATAGAGACATTATTAACACCATATAGAGACATTATTAACACCATATAGAGACATTATTAACATCATATAGAGACATTATTAACACCATATAGAGACATTATTAACACCATATAGAGACATTATTAACGAAAATGTTGATAATTAACTGCGACCAATTAGTAATTTTAACACCCTCAAAAATAAAAACTTAGCTTAAAATTTGATATAAGATTTTGATATTAATTATGATATGTTTAGTCGAGGCGTTTGTTTCAAATTCCTTGTAAAATCGAACAACAGTTCACCAAAATACCCCGAATAGAACCAGACAAAAAAGCACTTACAATATGAATAAGGATTCCATCACAGGTGTAGTTGAGAATTGTGTGATACACAGCTGGAATCGGCTGGCAGTTACCGATACTCGTCCTAAACTGGCCGTACAGGAAGTCTATAAACTCGGACACCAGTGTTTTAGCCTTGTCTATGGCTTTGTTCACTTCCTGGATTGACACACAATCAGATATCAAAGTTATCGGAATTGTTTATTTTATCCCCAAAACAAAAGTAGTCGATGGGAAACTGGTCATTTTGAAAACGGGAATTTGTCGCTGATTACATAATATGTACATATATTATATATATATTAGAGTAGTAATATTCAATAAGTAGGTTACAAACTGACCTCCAAGACAATGCTTTTGATGCTGAAATCATCTGAATTGAATCTGTCATCCATTTTTCCAATCGCATCTAATAACTCGTCTATTTTTGTCTGATAGGTTGTTAGGTAAGAAAAAACTAAAATTACCTTAGGAACAATAAAAACTATTTTTATTCAAACATTTGATTAAATTTATTGTAGATTAAATAATTGGTTCCTTAGATAATGTAGGATCGTTCAGCAGAAATGTCGGAGAGTTCCTATTTTGGCCCACGATGCGGTAATTAAAAAATATGAGTTTAAGACAATAGGAAAAGTAATTTATTGCTTATTATAAAATAAGTCGATATTAGGGTTTAGGGTTACCCTAGTCGATATTAGGGTTACCCTTGTCGATATTAGGGTTACCCTAGTCGATATTAGGGTTACCCTCTAGTCGATATTAGGGTTACCCTAGTCGATATTAGGGTTACCCTAGTCGATATTAGGGTTACCCTAGTCGATATTAGGGTTACCCTAGTCGATATTAGGGTTACCCTAGTCGATATTAGGGTTTAGGGTTACCCTAGTCGATATTAGGGTTACCCTAGTCGATATTAGGGTTACCCTAGTCGATATTAGGGTTACCCTAGTCGATATTAGGGTTACCCTAGTCGGTATTAGGGTTACCCTAGTCGATATTAGGGTTTAGGGTTATCCTAGTCGATATTAGGGTTACCCTAGTCGATATTAGGGTTACCCTAGTCGATATTAGGGTTACCCTAGTCGGTATTAGGGTTACCCTAGTCGATATTAGGATTACCCTAGTCGATATTAGGGTTACCCTAGTCGATATTAGGGTTACCCTAGTCGATATTAGGGTTACCCTAGTCGATATTAGGGTTACCCTAGTCGATATTAGGGTTACCCTAGTCGATATTAGGGTTTAGGGTTACCCTAGTCGATATTAGGGTTTAGGGTTATCCTAGTCGATATTAGGGTTACCCTAGTCGATATTAGTCGATAAACCTTCGCTTTAATCTAAATGGTCTGAATTCAGATAAGATAACATAGATTGCAAATAAATAACAAAACTTACCACTATATTGGTCTTAATGGTAATCATATTGCTCAGTGGAGCATCTAGTGCAGCCTGAGAAGTGTAAAACATTACAATCGAATCATAATTAAATCATAATTAATAATTAATGATCAATCAAATCAAAAAAGGGATGAACAAAACGTTATTTGTGGGGTTATCTGTACTTTATATTTTCAAATCAGTGTTACTATTAGTCTTAAAGTATTCGAGTTAATCTTTTTACAGAATGGGGTGTTCCCACAAAAGTGGTCACATGACAAGTATTTAGTTAGTACCTTACTAGTTTCCACAGCTGGTATTTTAGTGTCTTTGATATCTGTCAAAGCAGTTTCACATTCAGCCATGTATGTGTACTGTACTTTGAGTTTTCCTATTTCAGTGATATATTCATCCATTTTCTCAGAGGTAATCGCAGTGGTCTCTGGGGAATAGTAAGTTGATGACACTAATTACTAATTACATACCAAATGAACAGACAAGCATTATATACAAGTACAAAATGTATAAAACCAATAAAACTTACCTGTGTCGGCCACAGTTGTCTTCATAGCAGCAAAGTCGTAATCATTTAAAGAGTTCTTACTACTCGTTATATCTGCCTTTGCCTCGTCACTTAACAGCTCTGGTTCGAAATCCAAATCTTTTAGAGCGTCTTCAACATTAAAGGTAGCAATTTGCTGAGTGAAGTAATTTGATGAAGATAACGGGAAATTATAGTATCAAAGAACGAACATGCAATTTAATAAAACTTAGATGATTGTTGGTTAAATTAACCGTTAATGAGTTAATAACAGTTACAGCGGGGGGGGGGGGGGGGGGGATTAATATTATCACATTTATACTTACTTTGTCAACTTCGTCTTTCATAGAGTTGAAGCTGAACATCCCAAACAGGTTAGTGTCTTGTTTTAAGTCTAAAGCTTTAAAGAATGTTTCATTCTGAGAGCATAACTCCAGCACATTTTCTATATTCATAGTTTGATCATCCCCTAATTTCAGCACAGTTATCAACATTTCATCAAGATCTAAATCTTGTCCAAGTGCCTCCCCCACGTCTTCCAACTGAAACACAACACGTGTGAAAGTAACATCTTACAATAATCTCACTATATATAAAGCGAGACGATATATATATACATATACATCATACTGTAGGGGATCATACTGTAGGGGGATCATACTGTAGGGGGATCATACTGTAGGGGGATCATACTGTAGGGGGATCATATTGTAAGGGGATCATACTGTAGGGGGATCATACTGTAGGGGGAGGATCATACTGTAGGGGGATCATATTGTAAGGGGATCATACTGTAGGGGGATCATACTGTAGGGGGATCATACTGTAGGGGGATCATATTGTAGGGGATCATATTGTAAGGGGATCATACTGTAGGGGGATCATACTGTAGGGGGATCATACTGTAGGGGGATCATACTGTAGGGGGATCATATTGTAGGGGATCATATTGTAAGGGGATCATACTGTAGGGGGATCATACTGTAGGGGGATCACACTGTAGGGGGATCATATTGTAGGGGATCATATTGTAAGGGGATCATACTGTAGGGGGATCATACTGTAGGGGGATCATACTGTAGGGGGATCATACTGTAGGGGGATCATACTGTAGGGGGATCATATTGTAGGGGGATCATATTGTAAGGGGATCATACTGTAGGGGGATCATACTGTAGGGGGATCATGCCTGGGGTAACGAGGTAGTCAGGGGGAAGGTTAGCCCCCGTAAAAGTGGAGCCTTGGCTCACACTCTAATCTCCCTAAGCTTTGGGACAAAAGCGTATAGTCATTTATTGGAATTGGTGAAGAAAGAAGAAAAAATACAACGACAGGACATCATCACAAAACCCACTCTTACTGATTAGTAGCAACAAGTGTTCTAGCGGAAGTTGTTACTCACGTGGCCAAGATGGATAAGTCATTTAACGCTCAAGTGGCGCCCGGCGTTAAGTAGGTGTCTCACTTTGCCTGATGTGCAGGGGGACTGCGCATGAGACACCAGCCATTGAAAAGTTTGATGATGTCTTATAATAACACTAGGGTTAAAGTCCCTACCACTGATTTAGATGTCGGAGGGGACCGGATTGATGACTCTCTCACCCTAAAACTCCCTAGGAGAGGGGTGACAGATGATATGCCGGCTCCTTCACCCGGCACAAAAAATAACATAAAACAACAAAAAAAGGATGGGGATGCATTGGTTTCTTGTAGTGAGGTAGCTCTAGTAGGGACATTTAATGTCCGAACTGCTAGAGAAGGTTACAAGCGCCTTGAACTCGTGACTCAGTTTCTGGAGAGTGGCATGGAGATCCTTGGGATCCAAGAACATAGGATTGTCCACCAGGAGCCGATCAAGATCGAAAAGTTCAAGGAGGGGGTTAGCTTGGTAACTGTTTCAGCATGGAGGAATGGAGCAGGAGCAGCCACTGGTGGAGTGGGCTTTCTGCTGACTAGAAGAGCATACAGCGCAATCAGCCTCATTAAACCCTATGGCTCAAGGGTGCTGACTATCTCTTTCAACGGAAATCCCAGACTCACAACTATAACTGCCTATAGTCCTACCGAGGCAGCACTAGTTGAAGAAGCGGAGGATTTTCATAACACCCTTAGACAGGCTATGAATGATGTGCCAGCGCACCACCTGCTGATCACAGAGGGAGATATGAACGCCCGGCTTGGAAAGGAGAGTGAAGAAGATTCCCGTTGGTACTTTCATACTCGTACCAATCGGAATGGAGAGCTACTGAGAGACACTGCCCTGGAGTGCGATATGGAAATAACCAATATCCGCTTCAGAAAGAAGGTCAAACAAGAGGTGGACCTTCTTATCCGATGGGACACTTAACAAAGGTCAGATTGACTATATCCTCATACGGCGGAAGTGGAAAAACTCATTAAAGAACACTGAAGTTTACAACACTTTTCAGTCGTTGGGGATCTGATCACAGAGTTGTAGTGTGTAAGATCAAAGTTAGCTTTAGGAAAGGACACAGGCCTCCGAAAAAAGTTAACTATGATTATAGTGCCCTGAAGTCGGATGGTGAGCTTCAAAAAAAGTATGCAATTGAAGTTCGGAATAGATTCTCTTGCCTGGTAGAGGAGGATGATGGGGCCACTGAAAGCTACGGAAGCTTATGGTTGGCTATTGAGGCGGCAAACAAGAGCCTTCTGCCAAAGAAGACTCGACATAAGCAGATTGACCCCTCAAGTGACCCAAGAGTGGGACAGTGCAAGGAGGGGACTGTTCTGGCCAAGGACCAATACCATCAGGAGCCTTGTGAGGAGAAGAGAGAGGAAGTCGCCACTAAAAAGGATTTGTTAAAGGCCTGCTACAAAGAGGTAGAGGAGGAGATCCTGAAAGGAAAGATCAGGAAAGTTGAGGATACTGCTGATCGTTGTAAGAACAAGAAAGCTGGAAGCTTGTCAACGATATTTCAGGGAGGAACAAATCCCAGCTGTGGACTCGTGGAAGGGGGCAGCTCAACAGAACGTCTTGAGAACTGGAGGAACTCTCTGGGTTACTTGGACGCCCAGGTCCCAGCTAATAGGTTTCCCCGTCGAATATTAGGACCCTATCGAATTAGGGTTGACCCTTCGAATTGGGGGACCCTAGTCTTGCCCAAAAGCAGATATTAGTTAGGGTACCAGCATATGGTTATAGATTTGGGTACCCTAAAGTGATTATAGGGTTGGACATCGGATGGCCCCAGTCATATTGGATTCTCCTACGATTTGGTTACCTAGTGATGGTTCCCTAGCCGATATTGGAAGCTCAGTGATATTGGGTTCCCTGTCCGAAAGGGGACCTATCATTAAGATGACCATCATATAGTGGGTTATCTCTTGGGACATCGAATAGTCGTAAAAACTCCTGTAACTAAATGTTGATTTGAAAAGATAAGCAAGATTGAGATTTTATAACAAACCAAACGTTTAACATGGTCTCTAAATGCGTAATCCATTGCTCATGGAGCATTGGTGTGAGCTTGGAAGTGTAAACAACAATCTTAACTTCCATTTAATAATTGATTAATCAAAAAAGGGTAACTACGTATTGCTGTGGGGTTATCTTCACTAATATTTATTAACTATGTTACTAGTCTTAAAAGCATATTCGGTTACTTTTACAGAAGGGTTCTACACCACAAAGGGTCAATATTTATTTAGTTAGCAGCCCGGGGAATGTGTACTTAACCAAACTATTCACACACCTATTGATACACTCCTGCTGGATTAATTCATCATTAAGGAATCGCATTGGTCTTGGGACTTGTTAAGTTGATTGACATATTCTATACATCAAATGAACAGTGTATAAAAAGTACCAAAATGATGAAATTCCATATAAAATTACCTGTGTCGGCCACAGGTGTTATAGATAGTCCGTAACATTTCAGAGTCTACTTTCGATATTGCCTTTGCCTTCGTCACTTATACCCAGTTCGAATCCAAACTTTTAGACGTCCTTCAACTTAAGGTTTGAGAATATTGCAGTGAGTTTTTGTGTCGGGACATTATGTTCAAGAACGCTCTAAAACTTAGATTGATTTTTTAACATAAGAAATTAGTTATAATAGCTAGTTCTGCGGGGGGGGAGGGATTTAATGTGAACAGATACTTCTTGTAACTTCTCTTCAGAGTTGAGTGAACATCCAAACAGGTAGTGCTTTTTTCAGGGTCAAAGCAAAAGATGTTTATTCGGGGCAACTCCAGCCATTTGCTAGATATGTTGGGACAGTCCCTAATTAGAAGTTATCAACATGTTCATCAAGATCTTTTATTTGTTCCGGAGTCAATACTTCTTTATGTCTGAAACATGGACGTTGACAGTAGCATCTGACATATATATAATAACGAGACGTATTGATGGATATACATATAATGTAGGGGGAAATTAATGTAGGAGGAAGCACTGTAGGGATCAATATGTAGGAGTCTATTGGCATACCTTTTTACAAGAGATCATATTGATAGATCCAAGTAGCGCGGATCTACTTAGGGGGACATATTCACCGGGACATACTAGTGCGCAAACTGTATTGCTACTTGGGGGAACCCAAACTCTTGGGGGGTCATAGTGGGGAGACACAGGCCGGATCATATGTTGATAGCCTACGAGCTGACACGGGTCTCAACGACACTGGAGAAATGGGCGGACTTATGGCGGATAGAGTTTTATGGAGACAGCGCATCAATACTCGGACGGTGAAGCCGCCTTAAGTCAAGTAAGTCATCATACTGTAGGGGGATCATACTGTTGGGGGATCTCAACTTTCCGGTGTTTCTAAAAACAAGAAGAAATATTTTACAGTGATTCAATAAAAAAGATTCGAAATATTCGCGGCAGATAATTCTAGAATACATTTTTAAAAAACTAACCCCTCCAATAAGCTTGCCATCGCTGTATTGCTTGCAAGTTCCCTCACTGGCAATAACAACAGTAACAAGGATTGCAGCGACGAGAGTGGCAAACGCGCACAGTATTACAGAGCAGTAACTGGTACACATCAGGAGGTTTCCACAGGGGCCAGAGTCACGCTCTGTAGGCAGAACATCGTCACTTACCTGTACCAGAGTTAAGTTATTTAACAGAATAGGAAGTGGGTCACTTACCTGTACCAGAGTTAAGTTATTTAACAGAATAGGAAGTGGGTCACTTACCTGTACCAGAGTTAAGTTATTTAACAGAATAGGAAGTGGGTCACTTACCTGTACCAGAGTTAAGTTATTTAACAGAATAGGAAGTGGGTCACTTACCTGTACCAGAGTTAAGTTATTTAACGGAATAGGAAGTGGGTCACTTACCTGTACCAGAGTTAAGTTATTTAACAGAATAGGAAGTGGCTCACTTACCTGTACCAGAGTTAAGTTATTTAACAGAATAGGAAGTGGGTCACTTACCTGTACCAGAGTTAAGTTATTTAACAGAATAGGAAGTGGGTCACTTACCTGTACCAGAGTTAAGTTATTTAACAGAATAGGAAGTGGCTCACTTACCTGTACCAGAGTTAAGTTATTTAACAGAATAGGAAGTGGCTCACTTACCTGTACCAGAGTTAAGTTATTTAACAGAATAGGAAGTGGCTCACTTACCTGAACCAGGGCACAGTGTGCCCAGAGGCTGCAAAAAGTATTTTGGGTGATATTTGCTTTCCAGATAAGTTTAGCCTGATCTAATCAGAAATAATCTGAATTTTCTAACAAAAAAGAATTAAGGGGCTGTCATTTTTGGTTCTTGAGAAATCTTGAATCAAATACACCTAATTGGTATGAAATTTGTGAATAAAATTCAATATAATAAATATTAATGGATACATTTTAAACATATAAACTTGAATAACAATCTTTAAACGTTTTAAAAACCATTAAAACTGGTCACTATCATCAGTAAATGGGGTAAGGAGCAAGAGCCAATAAAAATTGGGCTAAAAAATTGAAATTTCTATTTTTGCAGGCAAAATTCGATGTTTTCATCATTTTTGAAGGACAAAATTTCGTTCGCATGGTACCAAAGTGCAGAATCAACTTCCAGATCGCAGTTTTGGGAACTATTAACTAAGTTATTTGTTATGCCTGATACCTTACATTGACAGAAAAAACATAATGGGGAACCCAAATTTGTCATCTGACACCTTCCCATGGCCATAAGTACCCCCAGCCTCCCTCAAAAAATTTGACTGCCAAAATATGGGGATATCACTATTTTACCCTTAATTAATCATGGAGGCAGTCTAATTAGTTCTGGTGGTGTTATATTGTTTGTTACTGGTAAGATACACTATTTAAGAACAGTTTAGAGCAGATCTTGTCCAATTTTGCAAAATTATGGTTAAAAAATGGCTAATTTAGAGCAGATTTAGCAGTAAAATGGCCTTTTTTCACGACCGCGCGCTGTCGCGAAACCCAAAAATTGTAAATTTTCATTATTTAGGTATGAAGTCAAAGGAGTATTGGGTTAAGTTATTTAACGGAATAGGAAGTGGCTCACTTACCTGTACCAGAATTAAGTTATTAACAGAATAGGAAGTGGGTCACTTACCTGAACCAGGGTTAAGTTATTTAACGGAATAGGAAGTGGGTCACTACTCACTTACCTGTACCAGAGTTAAGTTATTTAACGGAATAGGAAGTGGGTCACTTACCTGTACCAGAGTTAAGTTATTTAACAGAATAGGAAGTGGGTCACTTACCTGTACCAGAGTTAAGTTATTTAACAGAATAGGAAGTGGGTCACTTACCTGAACCAGAGTTAAGTTATTTAACAGAATAGGAAGTGGGTCACTTACCTGTACCAGAGTTAAGTTATTTAAAAGAATAGGAAGTGGTATAAAGTGATATAGAAATGGTTATATTATACGGAGAAATTGATATTTAGATATTTAGTACTGTTACCCACCTTACAGCAGCCGAATACAGTGGGGAGTAAGCCTAGGAGTACTGTTACTCACATTACAGCAGCCGAATACAGTGGAGAGTAAGCCTAGGAGTACTGTTACTCACCTTACAGCAGCCGAATACAGTGGAGAGTAAGCCTAGGAGTACTGTTACTCACCTTACAGCAGCCGAATACAGTGGGGAGTAAGCCTAGGAGTACTGTTACTCACCTTACAGCAGCCGAATACAGTGGAGAGTAAGCCTAGGAGTACTGTTACTCACCTTACAGCAGCCGAATACAGTGGAGAGTAAGCCTAGGAGTACTGTTACTCACCTTACAGCAGCCGAATACAGTGGGGAGTAAGCCTATGAGTACTGTTACTCACCTTACAGCAGCCGAATACAGTGGAGAGTAAGCCTAGGAGTACTGTTACTCACCTTACAGCAGCCGAATACAGTGGAGAGTAAGCCTAGGAGTACTGTTACTCACCTTACAGCAGCCGAATACAGTGGAGAGTAAGCCTAGGAGTACTGTTACTCACCTTACAGCAGCCGAATACAGTGGAGAGTAAGCCTAGGAGTACTGTTACTCACTTTACAGCAGCCGAATACAGTGGAGAGTAAGCCTAGGAGTACTGTTACTCACCTTACAGCAGCCGAATACAGTGGAGAGTAAGCCAATGAGTACTGTTAGTACCAGTAGTCCCAGTATAATACAGATCAGGACGAAAAGAGCTGAAATAGAATTATAATTATAATTTCATTTTAAAATTGAAATTTATTTTAAAATTAATTGATTGTTTAATTGTTTAAGTAAGTTTACTGAATAAGATAAGGTTACTGGAGTGTATCAGAAAATTTATTGTTACTTGCTCTTATGATAAACTATGCACATGGTGTACATAGTATATAGTATGATAAACTATGTACATGGTGTATAGTATATATAGTATGATAAACTATGCACATGGTGTATAGTATATAGTATGATAAACTATGCACATGGTATATAGTATATAGTATGATAAACTATGCACATGGTATATAGTATATAGTATGATAAACTATGCACATGGTATATAGTATATAGTATGATAAACTATGCACATGGTATATAGTATATAGTATGATAAACTATGCACATGGTGTATAGTATATATTATGATAAACTATGCACATGGTATATAGTATATAGTATGATAAACTATGCACATGGTATATAGTATGATCTTATGATAAACTATGCACATGGTGTACAGTATACAGCATGATAAACGCAGTAAATATGCTTTATTTCTCTTACCAAACACTGCATATTTTCCAGGACCCTCTTCGGTCATTGTTCTAAGAGACTCATTCACATCTTCTATATCATACTCAGCATCATCTTCTACATCATCCTCAGCATCATCTTCTACTTTCTTCACTTTAAGAAACATCAAATCTCTGTGATTATTAGATGTGAGGAGAGGGCTCAGCGGAAACGGCCGCTTCATGCGGGGGGGGGGGGGGGGGGGGGGGGAATCATACACTTAGTACCTGCTCCCCCCGGCCCCCGCTCCATGATATTAAAAGTGCCATCACATGATCATAATTGTGACGAGCGAATAAACCTCGTCTATAACTTGGAAAATATTGTTAATTAAATTGATTGATTAGATGTTAAATCAATATTCAAATTACTTGATATAAGCTAGATTAGCTGAAATACTCTTAGTTTGAGTGCCCTTCTGTTCCGAGATTTCTTCCTTGAATTTTGTCAGCTGTGATTGTACGTCATCTTCCAATGTTGAAGAAAACTGGCCCTCCGCATCCGTCAATGCTTTAGTATATTCTGAGAAAAAAATTCAGACTTATCACTATCAGCCTCGTCAGGTATTATTAAATCCAACCTTAAAAAGCACTTGCTATCCTTACAAAATCGAGATGACCCTAATTAAAATACATGGTAACTTAATTATATTACCTAAGGGCCAATAAATTTAGTTCACAATAAATTTGGCTACCATAATTTTGATTACCATAATTTTAGTCACAAATGTTTTGTCTACAACAATTTTAGTCACATTTTTCGACTTTTCGAGACTATTTTCCATTCCATTTTTCCATTTTTTCAGTTTTTCAAATTTAATTAAACTTCACAATTATTATTTAGGGAGAGATAAAATAAAATAAGCGATATTAGGCAGTATCTAGATACTGCCTAATATTATACTTTTGCTATAATATAAACTGAACTAAATCTCGATAACATACCTTTGATGGCATTCAATGTTTTGTTGGTTTTACGATGTCGGTTTTTAAACCGGGGGGGTTCCCTTTTCCCCCGTGTTTTTTTTGGGGACAAAGGGCCTCCCCATTCTTGTGACTCCCCCCCACCCTGTTTCGGAAAACTCTTGAGTTTTTTTTAAGGGGGTTTTAGCATCTCCAATTTTCTGCTTTTAAACCTGAGCCCGAAATTAGGATTAGCTAGGGAAAACTACCAAAAATTATAGGTTATTTCCCTCTTTTTAAAAACCGGAGAAGTATTTTAAAAAAAAAGTCCTAGTTAAAAAATTTTAGTCGATTTGCTATTTATATACCATACAATTATTTTTTTAAAAAACCCGGCCCTTAAAGGGGAATTACCACACGGGGGCTCGAATGATGTTTCAAAAACCCCGCAGGGTCTAACCCCTGCGTCCAACCCCCCCAAATCCCTTTAATTGTTGTTTGATTAATTTTTCCCAACTTTACCCTTAAAAGTCCCCCGGGCGGGGGGTTTTATCCCGCCCCGGGGGTTTGTCGGGGGTTTGATATTCGTTGAAAAACGAAATCCCATTAGTCACCCCCGTTTAACCCAGTCTAAAAAAAATTTTTATTTGGGGTAAAAATCTGCAATTACTAAAAATTTTTTCTTTTTATTTGTTAGTACAGTTTTTTCCCCCACCCTTTTTAATCAGTTTTAATACTTTCAACATACTATATAAAAAAATTTTTTTTTGAGTCATGAATACGTTTGTAGTTACTTTTGAAACGCGAGTAACCCCTTTTCCCTAATAAGAGCATTTTTACTTGTCGCAAAAAACCCGGGGGGAAAGAAAATTTTTTAACAGAATCCCTTAAAACCCAAATTTGCGATCTAAAAAAATACTTAATCCGGTTTTTTTACATTAAACCGATACCGGGGGGGGGTTTTATTGGGGGGGGCCCGGGGGGGGGGGGTTGGGGGGGGGGGGGGGGTTCATTTTGGGGGGGGGGGGGGGGGGGGGCTTCGGGTTCGTTTTTATTTTTTTAAAAAAACCCCTTTCCCAACCCAATGTAGTTTTCCCAAAAGTTCCCCCTTTTTTGTTTGGGGAAAAAACCCCGTTTGGGGGGAAAAAGAATCCCCGGAAAAAAACCATTTCGTTGAAAAAAACCAAAAATATGTAAAAATAAAGAAAAACTAATTTTTTAATTTAAATTTTTAATTTTAAATAAAAACTGAAAGGGATCACTTCCCATCGAAAAAGCCCCATTTAAAGCCTTGTTTAAAGGGTTAGTGTTCCCGATCTCGGCTCCAAGACAGTTTTCTGTTTGCACCCCCCGGTCAAAATTCCCTTTTATGCATCTGAAGTTTTTTTAAAAAAGACATTTTTTTTCCCCACACTTATTTGAAAAAAACCAAAAAATAAATGTTTTTTTAAAAAAAGTTAGCAACATAAAAAATTTAAAATAGTAGAAGAAAGGGAAATTAAATAAAATTTCATTGGCGGGGCCTTTCCCCCCCCAAAAAAAGGGGGTTTTTGGAAATATTGGTTTTTTAACCCAAAACCAAGTGATGTATATTTATATATGCATTTGGGTTTAAGGGGGAAAATGGGTTTTAAAATTTCTTTTCCCAAAAGGAAAATTTGAAATTTTGGGGGTGAATTGCCGAAACCCATTTTTAAATATTTTCTGTTTTGGTTTTGGAACGGGGGGGGGGAAAAAAACTTTAAAAAAGGACGTTTACCCGGTTAACAGTTAAAATTAAAATTTAAGGGCCCGTTGATTTTTAAACCCTTTTTGCCCCCCCCCAAAATTTTGGTTTCAAAAAAAACCCCGGGCAAAGAAACCCCAAAGGGGCCAGGGTAAACGGGGGTCCGAAATTTTTTAGTGGGGAAAATTTTAAAAAACCACTCCCCGGCCCAAATTTAAAAAACGATTCTTTTTCCATTGTTAAAGATTTTCAATGTGAAAAATTTTCCAAGGGGGCTGCGGGGATTACCCTAACTTTGGGGGGAGGGGTTTTATATAGTTTAAAATGTGAAAAAATTTTCCCATAAACGTGCCTTTTAAAATAGGGCTACTAAAAATTAAATAACCCAAACTTCAATGAACTTTTTTCCCCAAAAAAATATTTTTTTTTCCTGATGGGGGTTTGGAAAAAAAAAAAAAATTAAACATAAAATTTTTTGTTCAAACGTATTTTTTCAACCATGGGGGAAAAAATAAAAATTAAAATTGGGAAAAAACCTCAACGGGGGCCCTCTAGCTCCTTAATAAAAATTTTAAATTGAATTAGTTTCGGAGCCCTTTTATTTGCAAATTTGAGGGGAAAAGGGGAAAAGTTATTAAAATTTAAAACCCCCAAAATTTCCAAAAATACAGCAGCAATTTGTGAAATGTAAATAAAAACATAAACCCCCCCCCCCCCCCCCCCCCCCCCCCCCCCCCCCCCCCCCCCCCCCCCCCCCCCCCCCCCCCCCCCCCCCCCCCCCCCCCCAAAAGAGAATTAATACAAGAAAAAATTTTTTAAATTAAAAGGGGCCTTTTAAAAAAAAAATAAAAAGTTTCCCCTCGTTTGTTTCATAAAATTTTCCCGAAAAGGGCCCGTCAGCCCCGGGGTTGTTTCAATAGTACCCGTGGGTTGGTCCCCCTTAAAAGAGCCCGAAAATTTGGGGTCCTGACACAACCAAAAATCGCCGGGCCCTGCATGTTAAATAACGTTTTTTTTAAAAGGTGAGATTTAAAAATAACAGTTTTTTAAAGAAATGGGGAAATGAGAAGTGGTTTTTGTAAATTTTTTTAAATTTGTCTTTTAAGTATCCATTATTTGTGTCTTGTTTTTTTTCTCATTTCACGGATCGAGCCCGTTTTTCGCAAAAAAACCTCCCCGGGGTACATTTTTAAACCCCAAAAACCCTATGTCATGGGGGAAATTCGCAATAGCTTTCCCGAAATAATAAATTGAAGTTGGTTTAACTGTTGGGGGGTTTTAAAAATTTAGAAAAATCTCCGAAATCGCTGTAGAGGGGGGTTTTTCCCGGTTTATACCCATGGTGTATGTAAAAATAATTAGAATACCCTTTAATCGGGTCCCATCGATTCCGTCAAATTGATGCCCCCCATACAATTTAGGGTTTAAATCAAATCCCGTCATGTTAAAAAAATTGCTATATAAAAAAATTTTTGAAATTTGAAAGACAATGGACCCCGAGCGCGCGGTGAGGGGGGCCGCCCCCGGCGAGGATTCTCGCGAAGAAAAACTAAAGTGAATGTCACCGGGGTTTAAGGGTTTTTAAAAACCTTGAACTTTTTTAAAAGTTTTTTTAAGATTAAACGGCCAAAAATTAGATATTTCCCGTCATCAAATTAAATAAAAAATTTCAAAAAAGGGGAGGGTTTTTTACCCTTGCTGGGGAAAACAAACCCCATTTCATTTGTCCCAGCCAAAAATTTCAAGGGGCAAAGCCCCCCCAATTTTCCAATCTAAAATTTTTTTTGATTTTAAACAATTTTATTATATTCATCCAAATTTGGGGGGACATTATAAAAATAAAAAAAAATTGGTGTAAAACATGTTTGCGGCCAGAGAAAAAACCCCAAAAAATTTTTTCCCCCCCAAATCATTCGCCCCCCAATCCCATACCCGAATCTTGCGGGCAGATATGGAACTATTTTTACAAGGGCCCATTAAAAACTTTGGGTAAATTAAAGTTTTCCCCGCCCCAAAAAACTCATAGAAAAAATTACCTTATTAAAAAGGGAAACCCATGGGAAACCCTAAAACCAATTTTGGTTTGTGTTAGAAATTTTTCAAAATTAAATCTTAAAGGGAAAAAAAAAAAAAAGGGAAAAGCGAACCTTTTGAGATTTGTTACAGGGCAACAGAAAAACGGGGGGGGAAAGCCCAAAGGAAAAAAACCCCAAAACCTCCGGAAAAAAGGAAAAAGGAAAAAGGAAAAACCAGCCCCTATAAAGCTTAGACTGGGGAAAAGCTTTTGCATAGCCCTTAGTTTGTTTCCCGCGGGGGTTAGGGGTCTGAAAATTTTAAAATTTTAGTTTATATTTAAAATTAATTTTTTAAAAAGTAGTGAAAAACCGCCCCCTGAATTGAGTCGGGCGTATTTGTAGTGTGATGTGGGTTATTTGTTGGCTGTGACGAAAAAGATATGTGAGGGTCCCCAGTATGTCCCGATTTGTTGGGAAAAACTTGGTCCAAAAGGGTTTTTTATAAAAAGTTTTTTTCTTACTTCCTCATAGCTTTAAAACCCTTTTTTTTGCATGGAAATTTTTAGGTTAAGTTTTCCAAATTATAGTTTTTAAAATTTTGTGGCAAAATGTAAAAGGCCCAAAGTTTTTGGAGGGGGGCCAAGTCCCCCCCCCTTAGTGCCCCTTATCCCGTTGGGCCCCCACCCTTACCCCGCTTTTGTGGAAAATATTCCCCAAAACGGGATTTAGTTTTGAATAGTTTAAATAATTGAAAGGTTTTATATTCTAAAAAATCGACTTAAATATATAATTACTAACCCAAAGCCCAAAACTTTTTAAAATCGCCCACCCCCTTTTATTGAAAAATAGGCCCTAGGTTTTGAATGAGCCCGTCCCTCACAGTTAAAATTTAACATGAAAAAAAAAGACAGTCTGAGATATAAGCAAAATTTGAAATCGGGTGAGCTACTCACCACCTAAATTTAAAAAAAAATCCAAAACCCCTTAAACCCAAGGTAAGTTGGGAAAAAAACACAGGTAGTGAGGGGAAATTTTAAAAAAGTAGGAAGGAATTAAAAAACACGGCCCGTATTGGAGTAACCCACAAAAAAAAGGGGTTAGGTTTGGAAAAAAAACAGGCAGTGGGAGTAATTTTCCCCCAATAAGTAGGTTTAAAAAACCCACCGGCCCGGAAAAGGAGGGGTCCCCTTAAACCCCAATGTGGGGGGGGGGGTTGGAAAAAAAAAAAACCCGGTAGTGAGTGGTAACTTAAAAAAGTAGGTTGGGAAAATAAAAAACCCCGGCAGTGAGTAAAAGGTAATTAAAA